AACACCTCTTCCACCTTACTACCACCACCACTAACACCACCACCACCTCTTCCACCATTACTACCACCACCACTACCTCTTCCACCATTACTACCACCACCACTACCTCTTCCACCATTACTACCACCACCACTACCTCTTCCACCATTACTACCACCACCACTACCTCTTCCACCATTACTACCACCACCACTACCACCACCTGCACCACCACCTCAATTACAACACAAGAAAATGCTTCCATGGTGAGGTAACCACGTGCACTGAGCGAGTGATGTAGGATGCTGGGCAGATGTTGTATTGTTCGCTGTGCCAACTAGTGGCTGCGTATCTGAAGCTCACTCGTAACTCGGATTTTGGCTCGCAATTGAAAGCAAAAATTTGACTGAGCAATGGCTCGTAACTTGGAAAACTTGCATGTTGGGGCACTCGTAAGTCAAGATACCACTGTACAGTGGACCCCCGCTTAACGATCACCTCCAAATGCGACCAATTATGTAAGTGTATTTATGTAAGTGCGTTTGTACGTGTATGTTTGAGGGTCTGAAATGGACTAATCTACTTCACAATATTCCTTATGGGAAAAAATTCGGTCAGTACTGGCACCTGAACATACTTCTGGAATGAAAAAAGTTCGTTAACCGGGGGTCCACTGTATTTATGAAATGTGAAAAAAATTTAAAACACTTAAAATTTTGGAAAGTATCCAGACATAGTGGAGAGACACGGTGCTCATACAGCTCATGGAGAATGTAAAAAACTGGGTGGCACAGTGACTGTATTAGAGAGTAAGGTGGGGGAGCCTGTATATAGCCAGTTTTGGTCATAATTTGAAATGTCCATATTAGCGGAATGCCGTAAGGCAAAAATGCCATAATGCGGGGCCCTGCTGTACAATTATTACAGTATTGCATAACGGTAAATCTTCTGTTTTTTCTGAGTAAAAATTCTTTGTGTGATAAAAATTCAAAATGGAATTCATGTGTAAAGCCTGGGAACATAACTAATGAACAGAGGAAACGTTACTTTAGTGGCAGGAATACCTGCATTGTTTATTCTGGACCCTACTTTGAAATTGAAATATTTTGAAATATGTGTGAAATTGGCCAATTAACCAATTTCTGATCATTTTATTATGTAGTTGAAATAGTTGATTGGGCAGTTTCTTGTGCTCAGTCAATAAAATGGAAGACATACTAGTGAAATAGCTAGAAATTATTTTTTTTTTTTCTACTGAGAACAATTCTCAGATCTGGGGTCTGGACAGTGAAAGGGTTAATAAATGATAGTGTAAACATGTTTCTCGCCTTTTATATGCACTGGCAAGTGAAATAAAAATATGATTTGCTTTATGGCAGTGGTCCGGAACCTAACCTGCTGTGTTAGTAGTGAGGTATACCTGTGGTAAGAGTATGTGTATTGTAACCTGTAGTACTATAGTACATTTCTGTACTCTATAGTAATTTTATTATACTGTACGTAATTTGCAGCAATATCACTTACCTTTTTGTGGTGGAGAGAGGAGGTGTAAACTGCTGTGATTGATAGTGGTGATTCAATAACTTTCATTCTGAGTCAGAGGAGCTGTAAAGTTCCAGCATCTACACTAAACTTAAAAACATAGTTTGTAAGTTTATCCTTGCTTCTACAGATATCAGACACTGTTTCATAACACCATATTCCTTACACGTCCGTATCATTGAGACACCAGACTCAACCATTTTTATTAGTTCAGCTTTCTACCTACAACTGAGAACCACATGTTTTTTCTTAACACCACCACTTGCTTTAGAAGTCATTGTTAATTTCACTTTATTTAATATGTTAATAAGTCACACAAAGCTCTCTAAATCCAGAGAGAATTAGAGACTGAATGACAAGTGTATATGGGAGTGAGCACAAATAATAAATTGGTGCAGGTGACCTATGGTTCAGGAAACAACGATAACAGACTGGCCTGGACTTGGCTGCTCTGACCTGTACTAGTTAAACATTGGAGTCATCATACTTGGTATGAAATTTCAGAAGACAATCAGACATTATGGACATTTGTCATTTTTGTCTGATATTTCCAAGGTCTGTCAGGTTATTTTTATCCAAAATTGCAAAGGTCCATTAATGAAATTGTCTGTTAATGAGAGTTTTACTGTACTAACCTAGTACCTTTGAAATTGGTTAGTGACCAACAAGTTTTTTTAATCAAGCCACAATTATGCTTCTGGCTATTCTCCTTTCATCGCTGTCATTTACAAAAAATGGGTAGCACATGACTGTGACTTGGATACACAGAGCTCGCACCTGAACACCTCGTGAACTTACTCTCTCTGTGAGGATTGTCACACTGTGCTAATAATCGAGCATCTTTTGACTGAGAACAAGAAGGCACAATACTGTGACTGGAACAATACACATATAATTCGCACATAGGAGAGCTAAGAGCCCACAAGGGGGCTTACAGCGACATTTCGGTTCAACTTGGTCTATTTACAAAGTCACACTAAGAGAAAGGAGAGGAGTCAGTATATATAGGCAGGCTGGCAGGGACAGAACAAGAGAGGTGGGGGTAGTAGTAGTAGAGGCAAAGAAGATAGTGGTAGAGGTAAGGCTGGTAGTGGTAGTGTGAAGTAGGGAGAATGGTTTATTGGGACAAGGAACAGAAAGGGGGGGGGAGAAAAAGGAGGGAAAAGAGAAGGTAGCAGGGAAGGAAGTAGTAGTAGTAGTAGTGGAGTCAGTCAAAGGTCATGAAAGAGGAGCACTGCAGGAGAGCTAAGAGCCCACAAGGGGTAAGACCGAAAACACCTAAGGCAGAAGAAAGGAAACCCAAAGCAAGAAAAAGAAAAAAAAGGAAAGGAGAAGAGGTAGAAAGAGGAGAAAAAAAGAATCTGGTTAAGTCGTGTGTGTTCTGAAGTTTGGAGCATTTGACAGTGTAATGGGAAAGGAAGACATCTACAGAGACAAAGCCAGGACTAAGGTTCATACAAAGAAAGTTGTGTATAAGAGAGGATTCAACAAGATGGCAACTGTGAAAGTTAGAAGTAGGGTAGACAGTTTTAGCAGAAGACCAGTCAGTAGGATGACTGTGATCTCTAACATGACAGAAAAGAGAATTGTTAGTGTTAGCAAGCCTAACACTTTTGCACTCATTGAGTCTGTCAGAAAGAGAATGGCCAGTTTCTCCAAAGTACTGAAGAGGACAAGAGGAACATGAAATAGAGTAAGCACCAGGGGTATCTATAGCGGGAGGAGAGGTACGATTTAGATTAGTGCGAAGGGTGTTAGTTTGACAAAAGTAAGTTTGATGTCTAAGGAATGGAGAGGGTTGTTGAGATTAGAAAGACTGGAAATAGAGGGAAGGCAGAGAACAGGAGAGTTCCCAGTAGTAGAGTGCTTCAGAGAGAAGAAAGTCCATTTAGCAAATGAGAAGGCAGAGTTTATTAAATGGGAAGGGTAGCCAAGATGAGAGAATGAATTATCAAGAGTGGAAATTTCCAATTCAAAGAACTGAGGGTCACAAATGAGGAGAGCACGGAGAAATAGAGGAATAAGAATAGTTTCTTGACAGAGGAAGCATGATAAGAAAAGTAGTGAATGTACATGCCACTGTGCGTAGACTTGCGATACACGGAAAAAAGCAAAACATATATCCAAGTGGTGGACATGTACATCAAGGAAAGGGAGCAAAGAATTAGATTGCCATTCAGCTATGAACTTGATGGAAGGAGCTAGATTAATTATTAAGCTGTCGTAAGCTCTTCTCTCCTATGTGCAATTTATTTGTGTGTCCTTTGATTGATTGTCCCATTTATCAGAAACCATGTTGACTTCATTTCTAAGCTGTGCTGTACCTTGATGGCTTCACTCCAGCTACCCTATTGTTGGAAAGTTCCATCTTTAATGCACTTTCCCATGTGTTATTAAGTGGTTGGTTGTATGCATTTACAGTCATAAGTTTTCCTTCATTATCTTGGATTCCTACAACAAGAATTTTTGTTTTTTTATTTAAATTTTGTTGTAGATTGTAGTGGGTGTGTTGCATATACTGGAAACTTAAAAGCAATATATAACAAGTTAAACACAGAAGACAGAATACAATGAGCAGAACTCTGTTCACAAGGAAACCTAGGCAGATTTTAAACATTATATTCCTAGCCTGATGGAGTGAGGAGAAAGCTACTTGCTGACTGGCTGTGCATGTTGCATTGATCATTCTCAGGACAAACTACTAATATTTCATCTAAGGCACTTGCTGATTGGCTGAGGATGTTGCATTGATCTTTATATAATCAGGAAACACTGCTAACAAAACAAGACATGTTTGCACTTGGCAACATTCAAGCCATCACAGGCACTTATGCCAACATTGATTTATGTTAGACTTTGGTCAAAATGGCTTAGTTCTTAGTAAAGCCACTAACCCTTGCCAAAGACAGCAAACCCATGTGGAATAAAATATAATGTTATTGGCTATTTCAATAAGTTTTTATTCTTATTCCAGTTTTGTCATTTTCTATACATTTTGTGCTTATTGTTTAGATATATGCAAACATTATGTTAAACCATTGGGTTGGATACTAAACTATCCTACCTACATAACCACGTTTGCATCATTTGGCTTTCAGAGCAACCATGTGTTGTTATTTGTTATACCAGCACTGTATTAATAAAGTGTTACTTTCACCCATCACCACTGAGGTGGAATACTATGGTTTACTTTAAAGGTTGTTCCATATTAAATATGGCAGCCACCAGTGAATCATAAATTGACAATTTCACTTATTATTAAAATAATAGATGGAACTTCAGCTACAAAAAATGTTGCACAAAAGGTTTCTCTGGTAACGTTTTGAATTATCGTGCTTACATATGAATTATTATTTTTTGTGTGCAAAGTATGACTTGCTGTACATTTCATTCAGATTTCTTGTGATTTATTAAGTGAGTATCAGTGATGGTATCTGTCAAATTTCTAGCACTAAAATATATGCTGATATACTTTACAGGTTATTTTAGGTATGGGATACACAGAAAATGTGGACATATGGTCTGTTGGGTGCATCATGGGTGAGATGATACGAGGTGGGGTACTCTTCCCGGGTACAGACCATATTGATCAGTGGAACAAAATTATAGGTAAGTTCTAATCAGTTTATAAGTCCCTCAGCTATTATTAATGATACACTATACATGTACACTCTGAGGAATACAGTACACTACTGTTTAGTAATTACTTTCCTGGAAAGTCATTTTAGATTACTAAGCAGTACTATTTTGTATTACTCAGACTGTACATGTATAGTGTATCATTAATAATGGTTGAGGGCCTTAACTGGTGAGAGTGGTGAAAGTGCAGAAGAATATCACCAACCAGGATAATTATCCTATTTTTCTTTGCCTTCAGTCATTCCTGATCACTCCTTATTTCTTATTTCGCAGGTGCTTTATGATCCCTGTGACAGTAGGGGTTATGTGTGCAACACATGTATATCTTTATTTTGAAGATGTTTTATCAACCAGTGGCTTTATCACTTCATTACAGAAGATATTTGAAGGTATTGAAACTGGTGACAGTAGAAGATGAGGTAATCAGTCCCTCAATTTTGAGGAAGGTATTTGCTACGGTAATGCTAATGAATCTGAAGCAAAAGATAGAACCACCTGCAGTGATGATGGATTCAAATGCTGCATCTTATTTAACTCCTATATAATCAGCCATCTTCCTGCCTTTTACTTCAGATTCATCAAGGTTTTAGCGGTAAACACCTTCACCTAGGCGGCTGGGGGACTGATTACCTCATCTAATACTGTCTCCTATTTTAATACCTTCAAATAACATCTGTATTGAATGGATAAAGGCACTGGTTGGCCAAACATCTTCAAAATAATGATACCCAGGTGTTGCACAGGTGTCTTGTTCATTGACCTCTATGGGGTTATCACTTCCCATAAATATAATAATGCTCATTAATATAACTCTCCCATTCATTAATGTATCAGTGTCATGTGATACACTGTAAACTTTCTTATCCAACATTAGTGCCAGTACAGATAATAAAAAGGAACTGACTCTAATCAAGGTCCGAGGACCCAAACCTTTTCTGATAAATATAACCTAGTGTTTGCTTACATGTTTTTCATGTATATTTATGTATTATGCATATATAAATATATTATATATATATATATATATATATATATATATATATATATATATATTATATTAATATATATAATATTATTATATATATATATATATATATATATATATATATATATATATATATATATTTATATATATATATATATATATATAATTTATTATCTACTATCTGTCTCTCTCTCTCTGTCTCTCTCTGCTCTGTCCTCTCTCTGTCTCTCTCTGTCTCTCTCTCTGTCTCTCTTCAGTCTCTCTCTCTCTCTCTCTTTTCTCTCTCTCTCTCTCTCTCTCTCTCTCTCTCTCTCTCTCTCTCTCTCTCTCTTCTCTCTCTTCTCTCTCTCTCTCTCTCTCTCTCTCTCTCTCTCTCTCTCTCTCTCTCTCTCTGTCTCTCTCTTCTCTCTCTCTCCTCTCTCTCTCTCTCTCTCTCTCTCTCTCTCTTTTTTTTTTTTTTTTACACAGGGTTTGACAAGGTTAAGGATCCCTAGCTTTATTGACAACGTCAATTGAATGTCACCCATATGCCTACAGGCTTGCCTGTGCAAGTTCCTGTTATAGGTGGTAGGATGTCTCTTATACCTTCGCCATTCTTTGTACTTAGCAGTAGCAGCCTCTCTACAACGAAAGCCAAACCAAGGCTGATCTGTAGGCTTTGTCACATATTGCCGGTGAGGAATGTGTTCTTGTTGTAGATTAAGGATGTGTCCAGTGAAAGCTTTCACTTGGTTGTCAACATCCCCTTGGAGAAGAGCATTCCAATTGGTGGTGGCGAGCTCAGAGCAAAGGGCTGGCCAATTACCTCTTTCCCATAGCCAGGTTTTACGTGTGGACTTCCCACCTCGTTCTGTTGGGATCTTAAGTGTAGTAAAAACAGCCTTGTGGTCAGACGATCCAACGTAGCCGAGGGGTTGACAAGTGACTATGCCTTCTGTCTCTGTCTCTCTCTCTCTCTCTGTCTCTCTCTCTCTCTCTCTCTCTCTCTCTCTCTCTCTCTCTCTCTCTCTCTCTCTCTCTCTCTCTCTCTCTCCTCTCTCTCTCTCTCTTGTCTGTCTCTCCTCTTCTGTCTGTCTCTCTGTCTCTCTGTCTTCTCCTCTCTCTCTCTCTCTCTCTCTCTCTCTCTCTCTCTCTCTCTCTCTCTCTCTCTCTTTCTCTCTCTCTTTTTTTTTTACACAGGGTTTGACAAGGTTAAGGATCCCTAGCTTTATTGACAAGCTATTTACAATTAAGGGTTCCTAACTTTATTGGCAAGCTAAGAGCTGTTACCTACGTCAGCTCATTTGAAAGCATTTTTATTGTTATGAGACATACAAGTAGGGAACAAGATGAAGCTGGAGCCATCTGTGGGCCAGCATTTTCATTTGATCAACTGATTTTATCTCGATGACATCATTATGCTGTACGAATGTGTTCCATACACGAGTCATCCTGGGCATATATGATCTCAGATGGAGTGATGTTCTGGAGAAGGGTACAGCCAGAGTGAAGTTGCTGCTTTCTGCCCGTCTTGTGGCATAAAAGCTTGTTTCACACTGTCCTCGAAGTGGATCCAAGTGTGGTACTTTGACAATATTGGCCTTGTACATAACAGTAAGGCCACCCACATCCCTCCTGTGTTGAAGGCTCTGCTGAAATGCCGGATCTATCCAGGATGGGTCCAGGCGAGAGATGAGACGTCTTGCTCTGTTCTCTACTCTGTCAAGCAGTTGCAGATGAGAGGGGGGCCAGCAAACCAAGAGAGTGGAGCATACTCAAGGTGTGAGCGTACTTGTGTCTCGTACAGAATCTTGCAACCCCTACTGTCAAGCAGATGCAAGATACGGCGAAGTGCTGTAAGCTTCCTGGCTGCCTTGTTTGCAAGATTTACAACATGGTTCTTCATGGTTTGTTTGGAGTCAAATTTCACCCCAAGGATATCAACTTCTTCTCCAGGTGCCAACACCCTCCCATTCATCCTTACTACTGCACCAGTATTACCATCATGGTGCCTAGAGACGATCATCATTTGCATTTTCTCAGGTGCAAATGTTACTTGCCATCTATTTCCCCAAGCTGATATAGCTCTTAGCTGGTGATTGATGTAGCTTAGAGCAGCTGGCATTTCTTCTCTTGGATAAGTGAATGTCAGTGTACAGTCGTTTGCATATGCATGTGATTCTGGGATGAGATGAAGAAGGTCGTTGAAGTAGACATTCCATAACAATGGTCCCAGCACGCTTCCTTGTGGAACACTTGCCCAATAGGATGTCTTGCTGATTCCGTTCCATTGAGAAAATACACTTAGAGATCTACTATGAAGGTAATCACTGAGGAGACGTAGTGTAGAGCCTGCAATTCCCAGTGCTTGAAGTTTTGCTAAGAGGCCCTGGTGCCACACCCGGTCGAAAGCGCCAGCAATGTCCAGTGCTACCACACAGCTGACTTTGGATTCATCCAGTGACTGGTTGCCACTTAGTGGGAGGTTTAACAACAGATCAGCAGCAGAGTAACCTTTCCTGAAGCCATATTGACGATCACAAAGTAGTGAGTGGTAGTCAAAAAACTCTGTCATTTGTCTTGAGATTATTGTCTAAAGGATCTTACCAGTGATTAACAGGAGTGACACTGGTCTGTAGTTGCTGATTTCTGCTCTGCTCTTCTTTTTGTGAACAGGGACTACATTTACCTCTTTCCACAGAGAGGGCCATTTACACTGTACTAGGCAGTGCTGAAAGATGCCAGTCAGAGGTGCTGCTAGCTGGTCTGCACATCTTCTCAGCAATCTTGGGCTCAACTTGTCTGGGCCCACAGCCTTTTCTTGGTCAAGCGATTTAAGAAGGAAATCCACCTCCTCCTGCCTTATTGTCACCACTGACAGTTTTGTCACAGTTCTTGCAGCTAGCCAAGGAGGGTCCCTTGCTGGATCAGGAACTTGCATTTTGGTAGCAAAGTGTTCAGCAAAGAGGTCCGCCTTCTCTTGACTACTAGTAGAGGTGGTCCCATCCTGTCGATTTAGAGGTGGAATGAGTTCATCAGGCAGATAACCTTGTCTGTCCTTGACCAGGGACCACCAGGTTTTGGAGCCTACCCTACCTGATGCTAACTTTCTTTTAGTGTCCACCTCCCATTTAACAATGGCCCACTTTTGAACATCACCCATATGCCTACAGGCTTGCCTGTGCAAGTTCCTGTTATAGGTGGTAGGATGTCTCTTATACCTTTGCCATGCTTTGTACTTAGCAGTAGTAGCCTCTCTACAATGAAAGCCAAACCAAGGCTGATCTGTAGGCTTTGTCACATATTGCCGGTGAGGAATGTGTTCTTGTTGTAGATTAAGGATGTGTCCAGTGAAGGATTTCACTTGGTTGTCAACATCCCCTTGGAGAAGAGCATTCCAATCGGTGGTGGCGAGCTCAGAGCAAAGGGCTGGCCAATTACCTCTTTCCCATAGCCAGGTTGTGCGTGTGGACTCCCCACCTCGTTCTGTTGGGATCTTAAGTGTAGTAAAAACAGCCTTGTGGTCAGACGATCCAACGTAGCCGAGGGGTTGACAAGTGAGTATGCCTTCTGCCAGATCACTCACTACTGGGTCAAGGGAGGAGCCAGAGATGTGAGTAGGGAAATCAACAAAGTTTCTCATGTCAAATACTGCAAGAAGGTCATCAAAGTCCCTCTGTATAAGGTGTTGGTTGAGGTCACCAACAATTATGATATGTTGACAGTTGTGTTGTAGCAGAAGGGAGTCAATATTTTCCATTAGGAAGTTAATGGGGTCTGCATGTTGCCACTGAGGTCTGTACATTGCACATGCTAGTACTGATGTACTAGTGTTTATGCAGAGCTTGAAGAACATCATTTCAAGATGTGTAGGGGTGGCAACATCAATGTGCTGGGCATGAACCCTTTTAGAGAAGCACACAGCAACACCACCTCCTTGCCCTTGCCTGTCTCTTCTCATCCATGAGGTGTAGTCAACAATTCTTGCAAAATTTTCTGGAGTCCT